GGCTCAGCGATAGGAGAGCCACAGAATGAGGGGCAAAGTGAGTGAGGGGAATGCGAAAGAGTTAGAAGGAAAAACCCTGCCCCGCCCCCTCCAGTACTGGTCAGAGGACAGGACTGTCCTGGGGTGGCCCCATTTCTCTGGGCAAAGAGATGGCCTGCAAGGAAGCCCGCTGGGCATGGGGGAGGGGTGTGTCCGAGAGCCCTGAATGCAAAGGAAGCCAGGAGGCTTTAGCCCAGAGGCTGGCTGGGCTGGGTCTCTCTGGCCCCAGAGGGAACTCCCTGCAGAGGGATTATCGGCATCTCCTCCCACAAATCCACCTCGGGGCACAGGGCACAGGGCTCACGTCTGAATTCCCTAAATAACTACCGCTGAGATTTTCCATCACTGGGATCCAGGTCAGAGCCCACTTTCACCCTCCTGCCTCCTCCTGGGTTACAGGCAGGAAGGGTGGGTGTGGGGGCAGACACAGGCCTTCAAATGACTCTCCATGGACCCCTCCCACGGTCCCCCCATGTCCGACCTTGGATTTGGGCCTGGGGAGACCAAGGGGAGGAATCGGTGGAGGGAACTAGATAGAGTGTAAGCCTCTGTGTGCGGGGTGAGCGCGGGGGTAGCAGAAGCTGTAGGAGGGTTGTGGCCAGGCGTCCTGAGACTGTCAGGGGAGTGGCCCCACGGTGGCTAGGACAGCTGCGCCCTGGGCTGGGGGTGGACGAGATGGTAACCCGGGGTTTAGAGAGCACATGTGCCCTACGTTCCTCCGCCCAGCCCTCTCCAGGACTGGTGAGATGGGAGAGAAAAACGTCAGTCCTGAAAACTGCATTGCGCAAACCTCGGGCACTGGGCTCTGACAGTCTGCGTTCCCCACCTCACCCCTGCTGGCATCTCCCAGCCATGCCCAGTCCTTCCTGAGGCCCTGGCGCTGGTCCCTATGGCCAGCCTCAATACCGGAAAGGACTGTGCCCGTCCTCTGCCTGTCCAGCCTGCTGGGGCTCCCTGCCATGGGCCAGAGCATAGCCCAAGGACACTGCTGCTCACATGTGTGGGGCTCAGATCGAGGGAAGAGTGGCCCAGGGCCCCTTCTCCACTCATGCACTATGGCTGCCTTTCCTGCCCAGTGAGAATTGGGACTCTGGGGGTCTGCCTCCTTCTCATCTCTGAATGGTGGAAATCCGAGGTGCCCTGGTTGGGCCACCATTCCCTTTGAAGCAGCTGGTGGGTTCTGTGGGTCCAGACCCGTGCAGTGATTGGGCAGAGAGAAAGGAAGACAGGGGAGCGGGAGGGGGGAGGCCAGGAGGGCTGCAGAGGGGCTTCTGAGAAAGTCGAGACCAGAAACCAGATCAGGAAGGGCAGAACTGGTGGTTTGCTTAGTATGGGAAAATCTAGGAAGTAGGTGTGTGTGTGTGTGTGTGTGTGTGTGTGTGTACAGAGGGAGAAAGACCAAGAGCGAGTCAGACAGAGGAATGTCTATGAAGCCTCTTCAGAAAGTTCAAGGAAAATGAGTCTTATGAAAAAGTTATGCATGGATTCCAAAGTTTTTTACACCAAAATAAGCTCATACTTTAAGGCAGAAAAATGACCAGAGAGAAAGGGAAAGTGAGAAAGCAAGCTGCCGGATCCAAGACTCAAGCCGCGGTCGGCTGCGTGGGAGTCCAGTGCCTTAACCACCACGCCACCTGTCAGTCCTCTATAAACTTTTTAAAAGAAAGCGTGTTTCTTTTATGAGCAGTAGAGGCAAGAGAGAGAGATGGGGTCTTGATGCTGTGACCCACTCCCAGGTTCAGTCGGCCCCAGACCACGGGCTTGTGCTCAGGGAGGTCTCCAGATGGGAACCCCAAACCTCCCCATTTGGGTCAGCCTTGCAGAACACGTGTTTTACTGCTGTGCCACTGTCCAGACCCCTGGGAACTTTTCAGAGTCCCCTGCCTTCGCCTGTGTGGGTGCTAGTTAAAGGCTGAGGGTGACACGGCTGTGTGGTTCCAGACAGTGTGGACGTTCCAGGCGGTAATTCCAGGGCAGGAGCTCTCCCGAAGAGCGGAGGGAGGTGCCAGTGTGGGCTGCCAGTTACAGATCCATTATCTGTACACAGGCATGTGTGAGTACTCAGCCATGTGTTTCTGCGTGTGCGTGCACGCGCGTGAGTGGGCCAGGGAGAGCGCATGTGAAGCTGGGTGTGGGTGGACGTGAGAGTCCGTGGGAGAGTGCGTATGTGCACAGGGAGGGGCGGGGACACCGCTCAGCTGCAGATGGGCTTCCAAGGTCTCCAAGAAACAGTTTGTTTCCTAAGTGACTGGCCTCCTGGGGCCTCCAGCCCAGACTTACTTGAAGGTTGTTTCAAGATCATGAAAGAGAGAGGAGGGAGGGTGGGAGGGGAGGAAGAGCTGGGAGGCACTGCCACCCTGTCACTCCTCCTCCACCCCCTCACCCCACGCTGCCGCCCCAGTCTCCATCTGCCCCGTGCTGTCCTGCCCTGCGCTCGCCCTCCTCCCCTGCTGCCCGCCCTCTCTGGACAGTCTCCCCTCCTCTCCCCTCTTCCATTCCCTCTGGCTTGCTTTTACTTCAGGGCCTGCGGCCTGCCAGGTTTCCGGGGCCTTCTAGGGGCGCGGGTAACTTGGAACTTTCTGCTTCCAAGAGGAGGCTGTCTTGGGTGAATGGACAGGTGGGTGCCTGGGAAGGCCTGGGTGCCTCTGCTGAATGTCCGGGATAGGTGCCTTCTCATGCCTCTTCCTCCCCAGGCCTCTCTGCTCCCACTCCCCTCAGACTACAGTGGTCTCAGGGGACGGTGGGGCTTGGAACCACGGAGGGGCTGCTGGGGCCTACTGCCTCAGTTTCCCCACTGGCCCATGAGGATTGTGCCAGATTTTCTCTCTATTTCTACTGTCATGCCTGCTCCTGTTTTCTTTCTGGTTTTTTTTTTTTTTTTTTTTTTTTTTTTGTCTTTCAGGATACTTGAAGTAGATTCTAAATATCTCTTTTGGGGCCAGCAAATGGTGTGGTGGTTAACATGCTGGACTTCCACATGGCTGACTATGGTTTGAGTCCCAGACCCGGCAGCTTGTTTTCTCCCTTCATCTCTCTCTCTCTCTCTTTCACATGTTTCCTATAGCAAATTTTATAATAAATAACTAAAGTAAAATCTTTTTATTTAAAAAAAACCTCTCTTTTTTAGTCTCTCTGTAGTTCTGTCATCTTGAATCTTT